TTGACTGCTAACCAGAAGGCTGGCGGTGCAAACTCACCAGCCACTCCTCGGAAGGAAGATGGGGCAATCTACTTCCATAGTGATACTGCCTTGGAAACCCAAGGAGGGGTTGCTATGAGTTGGGGCCGACTCAATGGCACATAACAACAGTGAAGCTGATATCCCAAAGTCCAAATGGAAGGAAAACATCACCCATTGCCATTGTCTCCTCCTGTGAGGACACTGTGGCTAATGGGAAGCTTTGGGGAGGGGTTCACTGGTTTGTCAATCAAACCAGGTGAGGCAGTTGGATAGGAGAGGTGGAGGCAGAGCTACAAAAAAAAGTGTGCTCACACACTGATCCACTGATTAGAAATATTTTATTGGTCTCTATACATAAGGACTTTGGGTGGCATAGTGGGTAAAGCACTTAGCTGCTAAACAGAAGTTCAGTGGTTCAAACCCACCAGCTGCTCCACAGGATGAAGATGAACAATCTACTTCCATAAAGATTTACAGCCTTGGAAACCCAGTGAAGGTCACTATGAGTTGGAATTGACTCGATGGCAGTAGGTTTATCTGCCTAGCAAGGGGGCAGGGTCATGGAGAGGGGAGATCCAGGACCCATGCAGGATCCTGGTGGTGGAGGTCAGGGGAGTCAGAGTACATGCACAGATTGGCGGGGAGCTGGGGCTGGGGAGCAGTGTGAAGGTCTCCCACACTCACAGGGGAGCTCCAGTGGGAAGCTGAGGCATTCAGGCAGGCAGGCAAAAGGCTCCTCTTTAGTGGCGGCTCACTTATAAGGAAGGTCATAGAGGGGGAGTAAGTCTGAGGCCAGCCCTTACTTTGCTGGACCAGTGGTTCCCATCTAACCATCCCCCACCACTCACCTTAGATGGAGTTGGTGGGTATCTGGCTTTCTGGGCCTTATCATTCAGCAGAGGCCTCACCAGGCAAGAGCGGCGGTGGGAGAATGTCTCGAAGCTCTTCTTGCCATGGTAGGAGCCCATGCCGCTGTACCCTATGAGAGGAATGGCTCAGGGCCCATATGGCCTGAGAACCCTGGGCCACGGTCCTGTCCCTCAAGGCCCTACCCACAGCCCATCCACCTACCTCAACCCAGCTACAAACTTCATGAGCCCCTGCTGTAGGCCTCCCTCATTGTCTGATCCCCCAGGATGTCCACCGTGTTGTCCATGCTGAGACAACAGGAGAATCACCCTCTTAGGGCCTTCATGAAATGGATCTGATGCACTAGGTGATGTTTAAGGACCTTCTAGAGTTCCAAGATTAAATGTGGCTGATTATTTAGCAGAGTCAGAGTCCCAAACAGGAGAGGTCTGTAGGCATCTATGACTTCCGCCTGCTCCAGCATCTCCTGCATTCCTCAGGTGAAGTGTGCCTGGCCCTGGTAGGCTGCTCCAGGACACCTAGAGGAAGCAGGCAGGCAATGGGCTCAGTCACAGACTTACCAACACCCCCAAAGGGCAACGAATGTACAGTGATGTGGACGATGACGTCATTGGCTGTCACCCCACCACTGGAGGTCTCTGCAATCATCTTCTTAATCACCTGCAACACAGACCCAGGCCCTTGTCTCAGTCTCCTGCTCTATGACACCCAGGCCTCCTTCCCCTCCCTGTCTAGGCAAGCCCTAGAGCCCCAAGGCCACAGCCATAGTCTCCTGATATCCTTAGGTGTCCCACTCTCAGTGCCAGGAGGAAATAATAGCAACAGTTTCCATGAACTGGTTTAGTCTGTTTCCTCTAAACTTTCACAGGGCACTGTATCTTATAAGCACTCTCATGTTGGTTATCTCAATCAATGCTCACTACAACCTTTCAGGTGGGTATTATTGTCCTGATTTTAGCAAGGATAAGAAAGAAGCTCAGAAAGGCTAAGAGACTTTCCAGGTCACACAGCCAGTGAGCAGTGATGCAGGATTTGAGCCCAGGGCTGTCGCCCTGGATCCTATGCGTGCTGGGCCTGGGAGTCCCAGTCTCTAGAAGGAGCCCCAGGCCCACCTGGTTGTTGTGGGAGAATACATAGAGAGCCAAGGGCTTCTCCCGCTGGTTGATGAACTGGATGGCTTCGTCTAGGCTGCGCACACACACAATGGGCAACACTGGCCCAAAGATCTCCTCTTGCATCACTGGGGACTGGGGGTCCACGTCCATAAGGATGGTTGGGGCTGAGGTGGGAACAAGCAGCAGGGTGCAGTCCTTTCAGCCCACTAGCAAGTCTGAGGATCTAGAAATCTCCCTTCAACTCTCCTACAGCTTCAGAGGCCTAGAGAGAGGTTCTTCTCATGGCTCATCCCTAGGGCCCATCCCAGCAGACATGGGGTACACTATAGAGTAACCTGTATCCAGGGAAGCAGAGAGCCCTGAGTGCTGCAGCTCTTCAGTTTCCCTGGAAAACTGGGGACCAAAGGGGGATAATCTCATGCCCCTACAGGCCCAGGCACTGGGGTCCCCATGGCTTGGCACACCTGGAGTTCTGTGGCCTCTGCTGTCCCATCTCTCACAGATGCTGCGGAGTGTCCCCTGTCCAGGGTACCTTGTGGGGAAAGGGGCTTCTGGGACTGGAGAGGGGCTTCTGGAGGCTGTACTCAGCTCCTGCCTGCTGTGAGCCCCAAACCTCCCCACAATGGGATCATTATCTGTTTGTCAGGTGTCTGTACTCACTTGGTATAAACTTGCCGGGGACCCTGGCAGCCCAGCTTGGCAGGGGGAGCAGCAGAGCTTTTCAAGGCAAGGGCACCTACCTATGTAGTGGGCAGCTGGATCCCCGGTGCCCCCAAGAGCGATTTTCTGGCCCTCTATTAGGCCCATCACCCTCTCAAAGTGAAGGGAATTGATGATTTTCCCGTAATCTCGGGACTTCTGGGCATCTTCCCCATAGAACTCCTGTTGAGAAGAGGATCAGATGTGATACTGGAATGAAAACTGTACAGACATTCTGCTCCCAATTATGTTAGGAAAAAGCACATTAATATATACATATACATAGGAAAAAACAAGAGAATGCACTAAAATATCAGCAGTTATTATCTTTGGGAGGTGGGATTTCGGGTGGAGGTTTTCTACTTTATATCCTTTATATTTAAAAAATATTTTCTAAGTTATCTACCATGAGTATATATTACTTTTATGCTCAGAAAACAAAACAAAACAAAAACACATTTTTTGAAGTCCTGCAAGTCAGTAGTGACACCATGGTCACTTACTCCTCAGGGCCTCCCCTTCACATACCAGCTCTCAGCACCTCCATGAGCCCACACTCACTTTCAGGCACTTTTTGATCTTCTCCACGATTTGGCCCTGGATAGAGGGGTCACAGAGGATGTAATCCGGGGCTACACAGGTCTGCCCGCTGTTCATGAATTTTCCCCAGGTGATGCGCCTGTGAAAACCACAGATCAGATTATATCCTGTAAAGAAGTTCCCAATAGCAGGCATCCTACTTTGGTCAAATTCAAGGCACAACAGGCTCAGCACTAGAGGGCACTCCTCGTCAGCAGAAGCCTACAACCAGTTGCTGCCTCGTCTATCCTGACTCATTGGAGACCTCAAGTGTGTCAGGATAGAACTGTGCCTGATAGAGTTGGTTATTATTATTATTAACTTTTAAGTGTGATTTGGGTGAAAGTTTACAGAATAAGTTGGAAAAAGTTGTTCATGCACATTTTGTTTCGTGAAGTTGATTACAATTCCTCGATGTAACAGCCCTCTTCCCACTTCCTTCCTGTGATTACCATTTTCCTTTGCCTTTCTTTCCTATCATTCCTGCCTTCTGAGCTTTATGGCTGGGTAAATGCTGCCCTTTGATCTCTTATGTTCAATTGTTCTAAGAAGTGCATACCTTCCTGATGTTACTGTTCACCTCTGTAGGCCTATCTATTGTCTGGCTGAAAGCTGAGCCAAGGGAGTGGGTTCAGTTCTGGGCCTGAAGGGTGACATAGTCCACAAAGACATTGTTCTACATTCTATTTTGGTGAATAGTGACTAGGGTCTTAAAACCTTGTAGTGGCCTTCTAAAGTTCCTCATAGGATTTTCAAGGGCTGATTTTTCAGGTGTAAATAGCTAGTCCTTTCTTCTGAAGCACCTGTAGGTGGACTCACACCTCTAACCTTTCAGTCACCAGCTAAGTCCGTTAACCATTTGCACCACCCAAAGACCCCAGCAGAAGCCTGGAGGTGTGATCTGTTTGCTGCGAGGCATCCCTAAATATCCTACTTACTTTTAGACATGAAGCCAACCCCTGAGCAGCTCATGGGTCTTCTGGAGCCCCATCAGTGGCCTGGAGGGGAATCTCTGGGAGTGTCCTTTGTCATCCCTGCACACTTGGGTGGCAGTCCTACAGTCCAGCCTCCTGCCCAGGCAGCCACTAGCAAGAAGAAACCTTTTCCTGGCTCAATGGCAGGATAGTCACACTCTCAGAGCCCTATACAGCCACGAGTCACCCAACCCTCAGGTCCACAACACATGGAGTATGGTACAAATGCGAGCAATGGTGACCCTTGCCTTCTGTCCTCCTGCTCTCCAGACCTCAGATTACCTACCTGCCCCAAGCTAGAGGGCTAGACTCAACATCTCGCAACCTTGTCCATCCCATGAATGTCCCAGCCTGCTTTTCCTCCAGTCTTCAAGGGGCTGCTCTCTCAGTTTGGGCACCTCCTCCCCAGTGATGCCTACTCAGTGCTCAGAACTCAGCCTAGACCTCTCCTTGCAGGAAGCCTTCCCAGACACCTTATGACATGGTACCTCTCCATGAGGGTGGGAAGATACCTGTGTCATTCAGAGCGGGACATGTCATTGGATGAAATGGACAGCCTAAGCCCCTCACCTGCAGGCGATGTCCAAATCACAGTCCTTGTCCACATAGCAGGGGCTCTTTCCTCCCAGCTCTAGTGTCACAGGGGTCAGGTGTTTGGCAGCGGCTGTCATGACAATCTTCCCCACACCTGTGCTTCCTGTGTACAAGATGTGGTCAAACCTCTCCTTGAGCACCTCCGTGGTCTCAGGGACACCCCCGTTGATCACTGGGTATAAATCCTTTGGTGTTGAGGAGAGAAGAAAGGGGCAGAAAAGGTTATAGTCTTTTTTCATCCCTGTACACTTGGGTGGGAGTCCTACAGCCCAGCCTCCTGCTCAGGCAGCCACTAGCAAGAAGAACCCCTCTCCTGGTTCAATGGCGGTCTTCAGTGCTGTTCATCCCAGTGGGAGAAGGCAACTGCTAGGGGCTGTTCTTGTCCCCATCCTAAGACTCACCCCTAGCTGCAAGAATTCACTCATTTTCAGTCCCTAAAGACCTAGACCCAAATATGGCTATGCTTGAGCGCTGGAGAGCAGTTCACCTTGTCCAGGTACTGAGGAATGATGGTGGCCAGCAGGCATGCCATGTTATCACTCAGCTCCGAAGGCTTGAGAACCACCGCATTCCCTGCAGAACACATGGCATCATGGCTACCCTATCAGAACATTGCCCCTCCCAGTGCCCAAGCCTGGAGCCTCTACTCCATCTTCTTCATCCTCAGTGAGTGGACAGGAGAGTGGCTCATTTCTTGGGCACACAAGGGGCACACTGAACCCACACATGGCTCAACTGTACCGTCTGTCCCTCATCAGTAGCCCAGATTTTAGAGAGAAAGAAGGAAAAAGGAGTAAGAGGAGCTTGAGGACTAGTTGAGATAGCCACTTGGCATGGATGTGATTCCTACTCATGGTGACTCCACGTGAGCATGCACTCCATAACATTTTCAGTGGCTATGATCTTTTGGTAGCATAGTGCCTAAGGCACTTGACTGCTAACCAGAAGGCTGGCGGTTCAAACCCACCAGCCACTCCTCGGAAGGAAGACTGCCTCGGAAACCCAAGGAGGGGTCGCTATGAGTCGGGGCTGACTCGATGGCAAACAACAACAACAACAACATGATCTTTTGGAAGTAGATCACCAGGCCTTTCTTCCAAGATACCTTGGTATGGATTCAACCTGCAAACATTCAGTTAGTAGTCAAGCACTTATTTGTTTGCACCATGCAAGGATACCCTGATAAATATCTCTTGAGAGCAGCCCTTGTTCTCAAACACATAGTCAGGGAGAAGCAGGCAGTGAGGACAGTCATCCCTTTGTGTCCTCAGGCAAAAAGAGGCTCAATAGTTTGGTCCTCTCAGCTCCCTGTGAAAGGCAGAGTTCCTCAAATCACTATTTTACCTCAGGCCCTGTCTTCTAGCAGTCTGAGATCCTGTCTCCCTTCACAATTGGGTGTGGTAATCCCACAATGCCCCCTCCCCAGAACAGATCCCTGGCACCTGCAGCAATGGCGCCCACCATGGGCTGGATGGTGAGGTTGAATGGGTAGTTCCAGGTGCCAATGATGAGGACCACACCCAGGGGTTCTGAGTGGATGTAGAGCTCATCTTGAAGGGCCTGGGGAGTCTTCTCCACAGGCTCATCTGCTGCCCACTCAGGGAGCTTCTTGATCATTAAATCAATCTCCTCCACGACATACACCACCTCCTCATAGTAGGCATTCCATTCATTCTACAAAAGAGAGCACCACATGAGCTTGCCAGCTCTGAGTGGAGGCCTGCAACCAGGGGGTGCCGGGCAGCAAGTGGGAGTCATTCAGGTTTAGCTGTGAGTCCTGAGGCCTTGAATAAACTGCTTAATCTCTCCTAATCTCAGGCTTCCAATTTACAAAATGGGAATATCACCTGCATCCTGTGAAGCTGCTGAATGGGTGCTTGGGGCAGTGCTGGCATGCCCAGCTGGTGCCAGGGATGGGAGCTGTTTGCCCTGGGTGCCCAGCCCAGGATAGGGCAAGGAAGGAATCCAGGGAGCAGAGCTGAAAATTAGTAATTGGGTTAGTGGATCCATGAGAGTACCTTTTCTGCTAGTGTTGGGGACCCAGGCAGATTTGGACATGTTGAATTTGAGGAGGAAGCAGTAAATGATGTGGCAGCTGGGGTTTGGTTTGGGCAGTGGGTCATTAGTGAGTGGTGGGAACCAGCCAATTCATGGTCCAGGGACAGTTAAGAGTCTTGTACCTTAACACTTGTACCCCGGCAGGGGCCCTGAGATCTCTGAAGAAGTGGGTAGAGGAGAGAGAGGCTGCAAGGAGAGTCAGGAGAAAGTCAAAGAGACATTGATGTCCAGGTGGCTGAAGGAGGATAATCTTAGGCCTCCCCAGACACAGTGAAGGTGGGAGTGAGCCACCTGGGAGGTCAAGCAAGACTGGAGCCTGGGGCCTCCTGGTGTAGGGGGAGACACCAGTGTGCAGAAGTGAGGAGAGGAGAAGTGGGGAGAGCTCTGAGGCATACAGCTCTTTCATGCAGTTTGGATGCAAAGAACAAGAGAGAGAAGTTGCAGAGTCAGCAGAGTGGGTTTTGGTTTTAAGAGAAAAAGTCTTGAGAAATTATTCACACACACACACACACACACACACACATATAAACCAAACAAAATCAGACAGACTGCCATTGAGTGTGATCTGACTCATAGCGACCCTTCCTTGGGTTTCCGAGGCAGGATCACTAGGGAAGTAGATTGCCCAACCTTCCTTCAAGGAGAGGCTGGTGGGTTTGAATCGCCAGCCTTCTGGTTAGCAGTCAAATGTCTAAGGCTCCGCTCAGCGCTCTCGCTCGCGCTCTCTCTCTCTCTCTCTCTGTCTCTCAGCAAAAAGCATGGTAGTTGGGGGGTTGAAGGCCCTGAGACGGTGGGGAATGGTCTCCAAGTTCTGGGACCCAGAAGGGACACCTCCAAGGCAGGATAGGGGAAGAGGCAGATCCTGACAAGGTGAGGGCAGCCAGGTGATGACTTGTGAATTTGGAGGCACCTGATTTTGCTCAGGGCGAGGAGACACAGGGAACTTGAGGGAACTGGGGAAGGATGAAGGATCGAGGGCAGTCGTGGAGGGTGGACGCAGGCCCTCTGGGGTGGCAGGCTGTCTGCTGTTTCCTGGGGTGGAGAACCACGTATGAGGAGACAGGAAGTTTTGGGCGTCATGTGGCAGAAGATAGCTGAAATGGCTAGATTGACGCTCCAGGCTGGATAGAAAGGAAGTGGAGTCAGGAGGCAATAGTAGGCAGATGAAGGAAAAGAGAAGCCTGCGGCGGGAGATATGGGGTGTGACCGGGCATTGACAGGGAAAAAAGCAGCAGGTAAGGGGGAGGGGCGGCTCCGGAAGCATTGCGAGCTTTTTGTCAGCTGCTCCAAGTCGCTACTTGGACTTTCTGAGCTGCATTTTCTCCATCTATAAAATGGCTTATGTAAAGCGCTTCGCAGAGAGCAGTGGGATGACAGCCGAGTGGACCCTCCCGCTATGGTGCACCGAAGCCCCCCAACCTCCGCGCACGGGTACTGGCGGGGTACGGGAGGTGGTCTTTGAGGTGAAGCACCTTCTTGAGGTCGGCGCCCAGTGCCTCAGCGATGTCCTTTTCACGCTCCTTGATCATACGCTGCAGCGCCTCCAACTGCTGCATCCGAAACTGCAGCGGGCGCGTCTTGCCAGAGTTGAAGGCTGCTCTGGCACGCTTCACTGCGTCTCTGATTTTACTCATGGTGTCTGGGGAAGGAGAACACCGTGGAGTGCGTCTCTGGCCCTGGACTGCAGTCCGGCGCCCCGCACTGTCCCGTCCCACCACTTCCAGCACCTAGAGCAGCCCCTCTCTGCTCCTTGGCTGTGGTCCTCTAGATTAAGGGGCCTGAGGAAAATGGTACTCCTGCCAGTTCCCCTTTGCTGCCTCTGCCTTCTCAGCTCCCTATCTCAAATGTCCTGGCTTTTCCGGGGGTCCTGATACCCTCCTGAACAGATGATAAATTCGTTCCTATGATCCAAAGTCCTGTTCCCAATGGTGGGGTTCTCTGCAGCGAGCTGGCATGTCTCAGATCCTCCCACCTCCTCCCCCTCCACTAATGCAAACACACACCGAAAGCACTGGACACGCAGTCACACCACTTTCCAATGTGGTGGCAGTTGGTGGGGGTGGAATCTGTTAGTGATCTTTGTTTTCATCTTCTGTAGTGTTTGATCTTTTTTGCAAAGAGCTTATGTTCTCTTAAAAATGTTTGTTATATGTTTGATCCAGTAATACATCCCCATGGTACAAAATAGGAGCTCTGGTAGCATGGTGCCCAAGGCACTTGACTGTTAACCAGAAGGCTGGCGGTTCAAACCCAGCAGCCACTCCTGGGAAGGAAGGTTGGGCAATCTACTTCCATAGTGATACCTCTTCAGAAACCTAAGGAGGGGTTGCTATGAGTCAGGTCCAACTCGACAAGCGGTACATAACATCAACAACAACACAGGGTACAAAATTAAAAGCTACAAACGATGGCACAGAGAAGAGCAAGTCTCCCTCCTCCCTGTCCATCAGCTGCTCAGTTCCCTCCACAGAGATAGCCACTGTGACCAATACTTCCAGAGACATTCAATCCACTTACAGATACTGTGTAACATTAACCATAAGGAGAGAAGAAAAAACAATAAGGCTATTTCCATTTTGGAAAAAAAGATACATATATATATAAGCACACACACACATACATAATTTATGTAACTGGGTGATCTATTTCCGTAGAGATACCTACCACCTTGGAAACCCAAGGGAGAGTCGCTACGAGCTGGAACCAACTCAACGGCAGTAAGTTGTTTGTTTGTTTGTTTTTTTTTTTTTAAATGTGTGTATAGACAATCCTGTTTCCAATACCTACCACTACCTCCCCTCCCCTAGCTGCTGACCTTGGTTCCAGCCTCAAGACTAGCACAGGGAGTACCCTGCTTCCGGGGCCAACCCTTTCTGCTGACCACAACCTGAGAACACCACCCAGCTGGAAAGTCCCTTTCTCTCCAGAGTTTCCTACAGTTAAGCACAGCAGCAGCCTTTGGCCACCAAGCAGAGAGAAGGATGGCCCAGATGAGTGGGCCTCTCTGGACCTCATCAAAAGCCAGGGCTATAGCTCCACTTTCTAGTTATTATGGGATGTGGGGAGAATAAAGCCTTTAACAGGGCCAGCACCACCCAGCAGCAGCTATTCATATATTCCAGGTCCTTTCTCAGAACCAATCTGGTCACAGTCCACCTTGTTCTCTAGCACTTACTCTCCTCACCTGTGCTGCCTTTGCTCCCAGGTGCCCAACTCACTGTTCCATCTCCAACACCTCCTTTGATCCTTACATAAAAACTGCCCAGGAAGAAGGAACCATTAGGAATCTAGTTAACAGCTGTGGAAGGCCAGCCTGAGAAATATCAACTCCTCTGTCTTCGTTCTCAGCATGTGGCAACAACCAAGATTTGAACCCAGATCTATACCTTTAGCTACTTGGCTTCGCTGCTTTCCATGTAAGTCTAATTGTACATCACAGTTTCTCCACTGCCCACACTTCCTACCCCTGAATCCTTGAATCTTGTCCTCCTGGAGCCCAGGTTGTACAGTAGAGCTGCCAAGATGCTCTCTGTACTGGTTCCCTTGATGTAGGAGGATGGAGGACTCCCAGATTCTCCTCAGGACTCCCACATTCTCTCAAAACCAAATTAAACTCATTGGCATCTAGTCAATTCAGACTCATAGCAACCCACATTGGGTTTCCAGGGTTGTAAATCTTTACTGAAACAGGCTGCCTCACTTTCTTCTGTGGAGCAGCTGGTGGATTGAAACCACTTACCTTTTGATTAACAGCCAAATGCCTTAACCACTACACCACCAGAGCTCCTGATCTAGAGAGAAAACAGAACCCAGGGCCACAGGATTTTCTGCCTCTCCCAGTGACTTTGAGCTCCCAGAGTGAGCAAGAAACAAGAGAGGGTGTATTTAAAGACTTTCCTTCCCCTCTCTAGGCCCTTGGAGTCCTTGCCCAGGAAGTATGCGTGACAAGAGAAAAATAATACTCAAATGTGGGGTGTGGCTTAATCCAGACCTTTGTTTCCAATAAAACTCAACTTTGGGGATTAAGTCTTGGGTTGTCTGCTTTGCTTTGTTCTGAAATGCAAGAATGTTGCTGTGGAGGCTTGAACAGATTGCACATCCAATTTTCAAAAGGAAGCTTTGTTTGCCCTGGGCGTGGGGGCCACTGATTGATCCCAGGTTTCCAAGGCACACTTGCCAGTTACTGTGCTCCCAACTTGCTGGGTTACATAAACTTGGTAGCAGATGAAGTGCAAGTCACAGTGAGTGTGCCACAGCTTCCCCATCTTGACTGCAGACACTACTGTGCATTCTTGCCCATCATTTCCTGTGTGTCCTGGTGCCAGGGTCCCACCAGGCAGGACTTGAACCTGGCAGTGTTTTCACCAGCTGCTGGAGTCCTTACTTCCTGTTTCATTCAGAGTAGTGCATAAAATTCCCGTTACGGCCTGCAAGTCACTGAAGGATGTGCTCTTGCCTCCTTCACCCCTCCCTCTAGTGGAATGTCCTTCCTCACATACTCATCCACAGATCACTCTCTAGACTCTTCCTCCCATTTTTTTTTTTCCCTCCAGAGCATTCACTGTCCTCTGACATGATATTTGTCTGCTTTTTTTTTGTTTTGTTTTTTGCTATCTGTTGTTCCCAATGAGAACTTGAACTCTACAAGGGTAGAGTCATTGATTTGCTTACTGCTGTATCCCCAGAACTTACAATAATGCCCAGCATATAGTCAGTGTTCAATAAGTATTTGTTGAGGAGGCGGGGCAAGATGGCAGACTAGGCAGAAGGATTGCACAAACCCTCTTCAACAAAGAAAAGGGAAACCAATTAACACAGACACAGAAGATAATCTTGGACCCCTGAGCCTTGAAGGAAAGGATGCAGA